TAAATATAAGATTTAGGGTAATAAAATAAAAGTGAGATAATTATATGATTGGATAAAAATAATAATAATCAGGTGATGAATGATAAAAATTAAGAAAAAGGAAATTTCACATAATCAAAGAAAGATTATCAAATTAGAGAAATTTATGTTACTACAGTAACACTAGTAATAGAAAGAGAAACATTTTCAATATTATTGTTTTCAAAAGATATTTTGTATAGTATGATAAAAGTTCAAAATTTGACAAGTATTTATAGATAAGATATCAAATCAAAACAAAACAAATGCATAAAATTATGATTGATCTGATTAAATATTTTGTATTATCTAATTCTTATTGATTTGATTTGAAAATCGTAAAATAGTTTTTTATTAATAATTTTTATTTTACTAAGAAACTTGTATTTGTGTTTTAAGTATAGTTATTCAAAATATAATTGTATATATATTCACAAATTTTCGTTTAATTTCAATTAATATTAAATGAGAAATAACAATTTTTATGCTAATTTGAAATATTTCAGATTGAATTTGACTTCAATCCGACCTGGTGGAAGTACTAATAAAAATAGCTAGCTAATTCTAATTAGTCTTTTTCTAAAAAAAGTAGAATTTTTATGTAAAAATTATGACATCATTCTATATAAATCGAATAAGAATTAATTTATTAATGCCAATTATTTATTTATTCTCACATAATAAAATATTATATATTTTTAATATATACTAGTTAATTAGATATCTAATACTCTTAATATAATTAATAAAGTTATTTTACTTATAATACAATAATCTCATAACAACATATGATCTGATAATGCAAATTATGTTACTAGCTATAGCAATGATAATTACTAAGCTGTAACTAATAATAAAGTCACAATAACTATATTATTTTAAGAAATTTAAATTATATAATCAAATAATTAATACTAAAAAATTAAAGATTAAGACAAATTATCTCAAAATTAACTTTTTTAATCTATTTTTGACCAATAGGTCAAGATATATAAAATTAAATTTACTATATCTTTATTTATTAGCAAAAAATAAATTAAAAAGACCAATTTCAAAATAATTTAATATTAATTATTTGAATTAACCTATTTAGAATAGTATACATTTATCAGATACTTTCTTGTATCTATATTATTATTTTGCAAATTGCTCTTTATAAATAATACTTTAAATATTATTTAATCACAAAGTAATTTGTAAATGTATTGATTGTATTGAAAAAATGATTAAGAATATACTGTTTTACCAAAAATACATAAAAGATATTTGAAAAAGTACCAAAATAAATATGATATTAATAAGTAACTTGATACAATTCCACTAGAAGATGAAACTAAAATAAATTTTAAAAAAATAACAAGATAATATTTATAATAATTTAAAATAAATTATTAAACTATATTTATATTTAATATTTTATTTTAGTTTTAATAATATAAATCTAGATTCATTTGAAGATAACTTTTCAAATTAAAGCTTATAAAAATTAATTGAATTTAATAAATCTATATTAATTGTAACTTCTTCAAGTTTTGAAAATAAAAGTGAATTAGAAGAATTTGAATCACTTTTATTTATAGAATTTGAAATTGAAAAATCTAATTCAGATTGGAATAGTATTGAAGAAATTAATAATGAATTAGATAAGTATTAAAAATAAATTATCAAGTAAAATTAATTTTAAATATTATTATATATTTATAGATTTGGATTTTAATATTAATAAAAATATGAAGAAAGTATTACAATTACTTAATTTAAAATCAAAAAGTGATATTATTCCTAATTCTATTTATACCCAAATTTTAAAAATCTTTGAATATAATAAAGTATTATATCAAGCAGAAAAATATATTTCTAAGCTTTTAAAAATTAATATACAATATATTGATATATGTATTAATTCATATTGTACTTTTACAGATTGATATATCAATTTAGATTATTATTCATATTGTAATGAATCTCGATATCTTTATATAGATACATCATATTAAAAATCTCAAAAAAAACTATCTATTTTTTATTATAAGATCAACTTTGTATTTAGCTTAAAGATCCAGATTATGCAAAAAAAATGCTATATCGATCAACTTATTGATCTCAAAGAAACAGTTTAAATGATATTTATAATAGAGATCTTTATAAAAGTCTATTAGATTAAGACTTTTTTAGTAAACAATATGATATTTGTTTAATTGGATCATGTGATGGATATCAAATTTTCAAGCAAAAATGAGATGATTATTAGATTTTTCTTTTTATCAATGCCAATTTATCACTATTAAAATGAGTTAAACAAGAAAATTTAATAGTGACAGCTATAATTTTTGGATCAAATATACCTAAAAATATGAATAGCTTTTTATATTCATTAATACAAAAACTTAAGTTACTTAAAGATATATAATATTTAATTATATATTAATAAAAAGTAATATATTTTAATAAAATTAATTTATATTATAGATAGAATAGAAATTGATTGTGGATATCCAAAATAAAGATTATTAATACATGCATATATAATTATATAAACTGGTAATATACTTACTATAACTAAATTAACAAATTTAACTGAATATAACTCTTATATAACTTGTGAATTTTGCAATTTACATAATATTTATATGAATTATATATATTATCCTTTACAAAATAATAATATATCATATGATTTATTTAATTTACCATTATGAATACATCAAAAATATCTTAATAATATATTAAAATTGAATTATTATTATCAAAACATGATCAAGATACTCAAATACAATTATGAGGAATGTATAATTAATTAAATTTATTAATTTTAATAATTTTATTATATTACTAGGAGTAAAAAGAAAAAGTATTCTATTTGAATTAAAGACTATTCGATTTTTTGATTTATTTTCTCCAGATATAATGCACTTATTTTTTGAAGAAGTTACTCCAGCTATGTACAGACATTGGAGTGGGAATTTTTTTGAAAAAATACTCAAACTTGAATATAGATCCATGTTATTATCTTGAAAATTCAATTTGGAAAGCTATCAGCTTTGAGTTAATCAAAAATGCTAAGAAGATACCAGGAGAATTTGGTCATGTACCTGTAAGTATGCATTATCATAAAGACTATAAAGCTGAAGATTGGATGAATTGAACTATATCATATTTAATATCTCTTTTGAAAGATTATCTTCCATCTCAATAAGTCAAAGTTATTTATTTATATTTATATCTAATAATTAATATTATATCTTTTTAGCATTCTTGTAGGTTGGGCATCATATATTTTAGCTGTACAAAAATGTTGTCAAAAAACAATAACTTTCCAAGATGTAACTAATATACAAATGTTACTCTGCAATTTTGTTGAATTTACCAGGTCAGATTATTATTATTGTTATTATTTATTTAAATATACCTATTTATTTATATTTTTTAATTGTTTTAGAGATTATGGTCAATATCGAGATGATAGATTGCCAGCCTTTACAATTACTTTTCATTATATTCTTCATGTTGCTGAATTTATTCAAAAGTGTGGACCTTGTTGGACTTCTTGGACTTCTTGGCAATTTCCAATAGAACGCCTCATTGGAATCCTTCAACCAATGGTGAAATCGAGATCTGAACCATATCAAAATTTGGTTAACAATATTTTATTACGTGAAAAATTCAATCAC